AAGGTAGTCAAACGGAGAGAAGAGCCGAAGTAACTTGGTTGACCGCAATGTTAGCCGAGGTAAAGATATCAGCCGAGGTAAAGGGGTCAGCCGAGGTAAAGGTCTCAGCCGCGGTAAAAAGAGCTTAGCAAGTGGATCGCAAGTGTTAGCTCGGTCCAAGTGTAATGACGGTCACCGCGGTCGTAGCACGCCATAGTTAGCTTGGTCGTAGTATTTGGAGCCAAGGTATGATGGCTTCTCATGGTGGACCTCGCTTTGGTTAGCACGGTCTTAGCGCGCCATGTTAGTTCGGTCCAAGTATGAAAAGGGATTGGCCAGTGTTACCACGGCCCAAGTGTGATTAAAGTCACCAGACGGAGTAAAGGTAGTTATCTCAGTCATGGTATTCAGAACTAAGGTATTTGGGCTTCTTGCGGTGGACCTAGCTATCGTTAGCTTGGTCGGGGATTTACTATGGTTAGCATGGTAGTAAGTAAACACCACAGTTGGAGTATGTCAAACCGAGGTACACGCAGTGAAAGGAAGAACCAAACTAGCTGGACCTCGGTCTAGTTTGCGGCTTTAGCATGGTCATGTTAGCTCGGTCGTATTGACATCCAACCATGGTAAAATCATCTCACTTGGTTTAAGCAGTGAGGGGGGTATTGAAGGATAAGCATTATCTTTTAGGAATGTGATTCCTAGGAGGACTCTACATGGAGGAGTAAGAGTCCTACTTGGATTGTGCCACGCGGAACCTATAAAAGCTCATAACATCACCTATGGAGAGGTAACACAACTTTGATTCTCGAATACACAGAGCTTTTGTCTATTTGTCTATTTTGCTGACTTAGGCATCGGAGAGGTATCCGGCATACACCCGCTGACTAGCTCACCTTTGTGTTTTCAGGGAGTAAAACGACGTCGTACAAAGGAGCGCAGACTTGATCAACAGGATTATACGAGAAGGTTTATTTCTTTCCCATACAATATCTCTTACTTGGAACAATTTCCGGAGAAGTTAAGACCACATATCCATCACATAAAAGATGTACAAGCAGATGACAATTGTGATTTCAGAGCAATAACTGGATTGATTAGTTTAAGTGGAGATGATTGGCAACAAATTTGGCAAAACTCGTTGACTGAGTTACATTTGAATGTGGTGCACTGCGTGCAACTATTTGGTTCACTAGAAAGGGTTGATGACCTTAACTCTATCTTATTGTAACGCCCCAAATTTCTAGCCCAAACGATAATACAACAATCATGACTCTTTCAAGAAAAACCGAATATAAATCTCCAAACTTACATTACATGATCCAATAGTTCTTCATGCAACAACGCATTAATCCAACAATAAGTAAATAAACAAATAAATACCCCCAAGGGTTTACAAGTTTCCAAGGCTTGAGCCTGGTTACACAAAACGGTTATTCAAACCCATACACATACAGCCCTTAGCTTACACATAGAGTCACAGCAAAATGAGAGTCTCGTACTCTCAACACACATTTCCTCGCCTTTAGTTAGGCGGCATCACCACATCTTTTCCTGCACAAAAATCCCGTAGGGTGAGCATAAAGCCCAGTAGGAAATCCTTAACAAAGTATATACATTTTATACAAGTCTCAAGAGATGAAATGCACATGCCATGCCCCTTTTTGAAGATAAATCACATTTTTATCTTTTGTAAACCATTATGTTCAATGATGTCATGCAATTTCAATTGTTCAAAACTTAACAATTTATTTCAAGGGCGGTAAATACGACTCTGGTAATCCTTAGGTCGGTGTCGGCAAGTAGACTATACAAGTACTACCAAATTGTCATTTTTACCGGTATTAACTGAAAGGCTCGACACCTATCCGCGTAGGTTTTCGGTCTTTCACCCCGGACTCTTAGGCCAACTTATTCAATATCATCTACACCATCTATCAAGACTTACTAATGTATTTACCCCAAAACCATTTCATGGAACCTTGTTTCTCAACATTCTTTTCTCAATGCAAGTTTTTAAATCAACTTTCAAAGTTTAATGTAATCAAATGAATTGTTATGCCAATAACACAAGATGAATATAAATACTGTTATTCCAATTCATTATCCAAAGAATAACACAATTCCCTCTTCTCAAGTATCCTCGACAATTAGTCATTTCAAGACTATTTTAACGTTTTGAACAATAATTTTCAAAATGAACAACAATTCTCGTATTTCTTAAAATTCATCATTTATATAAATATAAATAGAAATTTTCCAAACATCCATTTGTTTTGACACACAAAATAAATACAACAATAACATTCATGGATTTTCAGTCTCTTTTAAAAAAATCTCCAAATTCTAGGTTTTCTCACCAAAACTATACAATTCAAATCCTTTGAGAGAAAACTTTCCAAAATCATATTTTCTTCAATCAACGAAGATGAAAACCCATAAGATCATTTTATAAGAATAAGAGACAAACCCACTTTCAAAATCGCTCAACTTTTTGAATCAACAATCAATTTTCAAAGCTATTGAAAGATGATTTCGAAAATCATATAGATCTTGCAGAAATATATATATATATATATAACTCTAAGAAAATCCCTACCTCAAGTTTTGAAGAAGAAATGAGATGAAACCCCCAAAATCAATGGTGTCGAAACTCGATCTTCACTGTACACAACAAAGCCCTCGAGATGATAACCAACTTTGGTGAAAAACTTAGGTCTAAATCCCAATGGATTTGGAGAAATCAAAGAGAGAAGATGACTTCTAGAGAGAGAAGCTCCCGATTTGGAATTCTGGAGAGTTTTAGAGAGAGAGAGGACTGAAAAACTGATCTGAAATATCAGATTCACAAACTGATATAATATGGTCCGCTCGAGCGTCGAATACACTAATCCAATACTCTTGCAGACAGGTCAAACTTCTGAAATCAAACACTCTTCGCTCAAGCACATAAACGGCCGCTCGAGCGGACAAGCAACTTCGAATACATTTTGCATTTTTGCTTCGGGGGCGCTGCCTATCGACCCCACCAGGGCGCTGTCCTGGGACCCGCCAAGGGGCGCTGCCCCCTAGACCCCTGCGAGCTGACCGGGCAGCTCAATCCCTGATTGGCCCAGTCGAAGTGGCAAAACATGAAAGAAGGATCGAAATCAGGATCGCTACACTTATCCTACTTCGAACCTGGCGTCGGATTTAATCATTAGATGACTATGCCTAACATGGGCCATTTGATAGCATCATACTACCAAGTTGTTCTTTATCATTTATCCATGCAACAATGCTTGACGTTTCTACTACTTAGATCAGTGCTAATTGCAACACCTAATCGAAAAGATATCTGCATAGGGTCTGTAAATGGAAACCATTTCGTGCAGGTAACTACCGAGCCTACTTAGATCATTATAATATCGTATTTTGTAATTATACTTATTGATTTCTTTGTTATAGGTTTATCTGCAACTTGGTCATACAGTACCTCCGATAGCAAATAATTGGATTCGTTTTCATCACCCGTGTGCTAGTGGATGAGAGAAAGCATATACTATTTGTATTCATCAATTCCGCACTCTTATTAGCCTTGATGTAGTAACTATCGAAATAATCGGTATAGATGAATTGTGATAGCATGTTTGATTGATGGATGCAAACAATGATAGATTTTATGGATACTTGTATGGATATTCATACACTTAATTTTTTTATGAAAATTTTATGGATTCTTTTTATGTATGATTTTATAGATGCATGTTAGATTTATGGAGCTTTTTATCGAACTGAATTAATTCAAATTTGTTAACATTGTATTACCAAACAGGCCCAAATTATCGTTTGGAACAAAGTAGCTCTGTAAACGTATAGCAACAAAATGCTAGACAAACCTATGTTTTCCAGCAACATAACACCGGGAAAATGTAAATTGTCTAGTATCATGTGATCGAACAGATACTTCACAGTGGGCTCCACTGACTTTGTTGTTAAGGAAATTGAAATTATCCAATTGTACGGTAACATATAATTGGGAAAAAATAGTTTATCTAATAACATGATACTGAAGTAATTGAAATTCATTATCATTTTATTACCAAGTCGGCCCAGCACAAATTATTACCACATTATTTGAAAGGAAGTTGCTCTGTAAATGTATAGTAACAAAACACTGGACAAACTAATGTATTCCGGAGTTATAACATCGAAGTTATGTTAATTATTTCGCATTGTGTGACCGAATAGACACTTCAATATGGACTCTATTGGCTTTGTTGTGAAGCAAACTGAAATTATCCAATTGAACGGCAACATAATGTTAGGGAATTTTTTTTATCCAGTAACATGGAACTAGAGTTATTCAAATTGTTTAGCATTGTATTACCGAAGAGGCCCAACACAAATAAAAAAAAAATTATTTACGAGAAAGTGGCTCTGTAAATGTATAGCAACAAAATGCTGAAAAGATCTATTTTTTCGGGCAACAGAACACCGGAATAATGGAAATTGTTTAGCAGTGTGCCACTGAATTGGCCCATAGCACTGAAAAAAACAATGTTACTTCCAGAAAATAGTACCATATCACTCCAAAACACTTTAATATCATTACAATGCATTACAAACAATAACAAATCCATATGTTCACCAAAATAATTGTTCATTAAAATCATCATACAAATATTGAATACAAAATAGATGTGAAATTGTTTAAAATTCATACAAAAGTATGACACTTCATTACTTGTCTTACCAAACATATAGTTTACCAAAGATCCACGACATTCACAAAAATTATGCCATTGGGAAAAAGTATTTCCCAAACTCTGTACGGGCTAGGCATTCACAAAAACTATGCCATCAAAAAAAAAAAAAAACTAGATCCTAACTCTCATGTCCGGTCAATACAAAAGTATATCCCAAACTCTATATAGGCTAGACATTCACCAAAACGATGGCATCAAACAAAAACTAGATCCCAACTCTTATGTACGGTCAACACATAACTATGACATAAAAAAAGAACTAGATCCCAATCCTTATGTACTGTCCATCCTATGACGTTTATAATAGTAGACTTGATGCTCTGTATGTGTCGATATAGATCCCAAACTCGGTCCATCAAGAACTTGTAGCATCCTACCAATGGTTTCATACAGCATGTCAGGGTGCAAGACACACTGATCATGACCGAGGCTATGGATTGCAGCACCAACACTGAAAGCAACATCATTACACTGAAAAGAAATTGATAAAAATCATACTTAGTGTTTGATTTATGGTGAACCACTTAAAAGTGAAATAAGTTAATTCACAATTCGCTTACCCACTTAGGATCCATAGTTACATCATTCTCGGGACGTTGTATACGTGGATCAAACTGAGAGTGATGCGTAGGATTTTGAACAACTCGGTGCAAAATACACATTCTGATGGGCTCTGCTGTACAGTCACACTACGAGCATTAATGAACAACACATGATTCTCTCATTGTGCCCATATCGTATCATGGTATTGATACATGATTATGTATTGTCCTGGTTTACTGCTTCGTATAGCTCGAATATGAGATAATGGTGCTAGTGGGATGATTTGGACCCTACCCAACTGTCGCAAAACCCTATTGGGGTGATAGGGTTTAACAATATCAAAGTATTTCAAACATCCAGTATAATATGCAACCTGATGTAGTAGATGGTGTGTCATACATAAACGGTATTGATCCCATTTGATCTACAAATAGGCAATGCGTAATATTAGTTATAATTTTTTTTTTTTTTTACAATATGACATTTTTATAAAATGGCTAACCTCATTAGTACGTAACATGTCAGGTTGCTCTCGTAATGTCTGCAAGTGGTTTTCTGTAAAACCCCATCTCTCCATGGACTCCAACGACAAACACGAGGTTGTTCATCAGAATAGGACAAATTTGGATGAGGCCTTCCTAAACGAAAATGCTCATAAATCCATGCTTCCAATAGCTTCAAGTAACCAACAATCTGCTTAACACCAGCCCTACTAGCAAGTCTTAATTGTTTATATAGGAATGCTAAAGCTGCAGCACCCCATGCATATGAGCTAACAGCATCAATGTTAGTCAACATGTGCAGGTAAGCAACAGGTACTCGAATCCCACTCTTGTCAGCGAAGAGGGTACAACCTAATAAATATAGCAAGTAAGCTTGGCTGCGTATTATATGAAATTTGCATCATTTGTATCTTTAACTTCATGAAATATGATTCTTAACCACTCTAGCTTCACGGATTGCCCACGAGATTAAACTAATTATGCAAATGCATCATTCACTGACACTCCCAAAGTAGCACTCACTAGTTCAGCAGCCTCGTATCTTGTTGACTTAGGACATGACAAAGCCCTACCAGTGACTGGAATGCCAAGTATGGTCCGCACATCATCCAACGTGATAGTCATCTCACCATCTGGCATGTGAAATGTATTTGTCTTTGGATGCCACCTTTCGACAAAGGCAAATATTGCCACTCTATTGCCATACCGATATGTGTGATCAATAAGGACACTAAGACCAGACTGCTCAACCAAATGTCTCCACCTACCATTTTCGAGTGTTGATGACATCCATGGCCACTTTGCAAGCTTTTGAGAACGATTCAAACATTTAAGAGGTCCCCGTTCCTGCATTTTATAGAAAATATATAAATAATTTGAAGCATATAGTACATATGATTAGTTTATTGTTGAGAAATTCTCAAAATACCTTTTTCTTCCAAACAACGGCAGCAACATGGTTGCGGAAGCTAATTAGTAATGAAGGATCCTTTGGAGCACTCGGAACTAGTTCTGTGTTGTCATCATCCACACTAACATCGTCCTCCATGAGGTCGGCCTCTACACCAATATCATTATCAACATCGTCATCCTCCACACCAATATCGTCGTCAACATAATCATTATTCACATTCATATCGTCATCCTCCTCCACAGGGACATTCACTTCCACTAGTTCAGGTTCTGTTTGCCTAGCATGTCTTCTGTTGGATGCCGTTGGTCTCTTATGTGAGACACCACTAACCATTTCTATGTTAAAAAAAACATTAAATCCAATATTAACAAAAACTCGAATATATAAATGACTGATGTAAACAATATCAGCAAAAAAACCATAATTTCATAGATAACATTCAATTTAAAAATATATATATATTGAATGTGCAAATGTTTAAAAAGAAGAAAATTTCTAATTATAGAAGAGCAAAATACATTTATTAAATGTTTTTAAATGTAATTAAATACATTTAAAAAAAAATATTAAATACATGTATTTAATTTATTAAAATTAAAAAAATTATTAGAATTTATTAAAATTATTAATACATGTATTTTGCTTTTCTATAATTAGAAAATTTCCGCTTTTTATACATTTGCACATTCAATATTTTTTTAAATGTAAGGTAATTAGAAAAAAATTCAAATATACCTTTTTCTTCCAAACAGCAGCAACATGGTTACGAAAGCTAATTAGCAACGAAGGATCTTCTGGAGCACCCGAAACTGGTTATGTGTTGTCATCATCAACAACAATATCGTCATCCATGAGGTCAGCCTCTACACCAATATCATTATCGACATCGTCATTCTCCACACCGACATCGTCGTCAACATAATCATTATTCACATTGATATGGTCATCCTCCTCCACAAAGACATTCACTTCCAATGCTTCAAGTTCTGTTTGCCTAGCACGTCTTCTGTTGGGGGGAAATTCTAATTATAGAAGAGCAAAATACATGATTTATTAATACATGATGTTTTAGAAAAAAATTATTAAAATGATAAGTGAAGGGGAAACTTGGCACCATTTAAAACTTTTTTTATCAAAGAAAATTGCATCAGCATAAAAGTTACACTGTTCCAAGGAATAAGGAAGAGGTTATTCAAATAAGCTAAGGGGTGTTTCATTCATGTTTATTCCTTCACAATTTAATAGAGAAAGCAGATGATAGCAAATCAGAATGACAAGTACTCCACTGAAGTTACAAGCTCAAGTACACTGGATCCTCTTTCTCTTCACGAGGGTTTTTCCCTATGGTTTTTTGGCTTCTTGTTTATTGATCTTGTTTCAAAAAATATACAAGAAACTTTAGACTGGTAAGTAAGTATTCTAATTCTGGATTCTGTCCTGTAGTAACCTTATTCTGCAATTTGAGTTCTAAGTACGAATGCATCCAACCCAACTTCAAAACAAATGCGAGTAGACAATTGTACATTTTATATTTCACAACTCTCAGAAACAAGTGATGCAGGTTCAAAAGACAGGACTCCACATAAGCAACCTAACATAATGCCTCGTTTGGCAAGTGGTGATTTTAGCCAAAAAGCCAAAAAATCACTAAAAAAAAACCAAAAAACCAACAACCTATACCAAAAAGTTAAAATTTCATTTTCTCTCTACTTTTTGCACATCTTTTCGCTCTTGTTCCGATTATTAGGCTAACTTTACTATGTGTTGCACACAAGTATAGACTAATTTATAAAATTTGGAACAGTTTGATTTCATGTTTGTTTTGAAAAATGGTTTGAATACGTATCACTTGAAAAAGTGGGCTCGTATGCACATTAATCAAATTAGCCCAATATAAGCAATTTAGCCTTCATCCAGAGGCATTCAAACAGGTATATCACTTAAGCACTTAGCCTCATGGTAATTATGCTTGGCATAGCAACAATCACACGCATGCGATATGCTAAAGCAAAGAAATGCTCACTTAGTATTCCGAGGCAAGCTAATCAAAATAAAAGAATTAGAAAACATGCATGCTCCTAACAAATGCAACATATGCAATATGCAATTTAAATTGACTTGGCTACTATCATGACATGTGAATCAATTTGATAGCATGCAGTCTGAGCATGTTTTTAAAGAAGCAATAAATAATAATGCTTTGTTAGAATGATGTGCCAAGCCAAATGCATTCAAGACAATGGATGTAATTCATGAGAAATGCAAAACGAAAATGTGATGCTCTAAACTATCCATCATATATATATATATATAGATATACATATCTATGCCTATCAATATAGAGAGAGAAAGAAATGTTTTTTCACTTACCTTTGGCGAACGAGAAGAATGAGTTCAATTGTCCATGCCGTCCGAACATGTCCACGCCGTTTGAACCCCTCCACGCCGGTGTTGTCTAGTCTTCTTCCCTGTGTCATTCTCTTTGCGTCGTTCTCTTTTCCTTCTTTTCCCTCCAAAAGTATAGGTGTAAAGAGATAGGTTTTGAAGATTTTTTTTACCTTAGGGTTTGTTTTGGTAATATATTAGGTGTGATGAGAATCTAATGTTTATTTTAGTAGTGTAATGAGATGGAAGGTGTAAAGAAGTAAAAGAGTGGTGTAAGTAGAATCACCCAATAAAATATCATAGGAACTACCAAAATTACTCTTTTACCCTTCCTTGCTGACACAACAGCAGGAAAAGTGGTTTGCGTGCATGTTGTTTAGAGGCTCATGGGTTTTTGTGGCTCTCATTGTGCCATATAATTGCACAATCAGAAATGTAGTGGAACACTGACCTGCAGTGTTGTGTTTTCTTATTTTTTTTCTTACCCCACTTTGGATAGGTAGCTGTTGTTATTGAATTGAACGATAGCACAATTGAGGCAGCAAGTTTGTGAAATTATTGATAAGAATATTTTTTAAAAAAAAAACAGAAACCAATAAACCTGTAAGAAAAAAGAAAAATAACTTGCTTGTCAAATGGTCAGAAAAAGGGTACCTCATGAACTGGGGTTTACTAGTTCAATCAAGCAGTTTCCCGCAATCCTGCATTCGGGTGAGCGTTATGTCCTAGTTTGGAACAGTTTCTATGGATTTTGTATATGCAATCAAGCCAAATGGTCAAAATATGGATATCTCAACAAGACTACCTAATATACCTCTCACACCTAACACCGAGAAGTGAAAGAAGGATCAAACGGTACAGCGGTAGTTCAGATCCAAGGGTTGTGTTCCTAACATAGCAGAGCCCACGACCGATCAGCCTTTTGGCAAGCTTTTGTGCAAGCCTTCGGCAAACCATCCAAGAATAGCAGATACCAAATACAGTGACTTAAGTGCACCAATGCAAATGCAATGCAAAGAACATATAAGTGAAGATAAAATTTCACATCATGAAATTCGAGTCAAGTTCTCTAATTTCCCCAATAGAGTCACCAAAAACTGTAGCTTACTTTTCGTGCTCCTTTCGGATACAATAGCCCTATAGTTTGGACTCCCGTGGTTGTGAATCTAATTCTACAAGTGCAATGTGAAATAAATAAACACAAATGAGTCCAAATTCGGCAATTCTTTTGAAAAATCGATTTTGAATCAAAATGCTAAAAATAGACTGCTTTGCCCAATTTCAGAGTCGCCATTTAAATGTTTTTGAAAAATTTAGGAAACCCATGACTCGTGCCAAAGGCCACGTGTTCGTCGTCACCAAAGTGTCTCGGCTCGAGAATGTAGACATTAGAGTGGAAGGTCATGAATTGAGCACCCCACTCGCCCGATCAAAGATCCGCTCTTGTTCCGATTATTAGGCTAACTTTACTATGTGTTGCACACAAGTATAGACTAATTTATAAAATTTGGAACACTTTGATTTCATGTTTGTTTTGAAAAATGGTTTGAATACGTATCACTTGAAAAAGTGGGCTCGTATGCACATTAATCAAATTAGCCCAATATAAGCAATTTAGCCTTCATCCAGAGGCATTCAAACAGGTATATCACTTAAGCACTTAGCCTCATGGTAATTATGCTTGGCATAGCAACAATCACACGCATGCGATATGCTAAAGCAAAGAAATGCTCACTTAGTATTCCGAGGCAAGCTAATCAAAATAAAAGAATTAGAAAACATGCATGCTCTTAACAAATGCAACATATGCAATATGCAATTTAAATTGACTTGGCTACTATCATGACATGTGAATCAATTTGATAACATGTAGTCTGAGCATGTTTTTAAAGAAGCAATAAATAATAATGCTTTGTTACAATGATGTGCCGAGCCAAATGCATTCAAGACAATGGATGTAATTCATGAGAAATGCAAAACGAAAATGTGATGCTCTAAACTATCCATCATAAGTGGATAAATAAAAAGGAGAAAGAAATGGGGGTTGGAAAGCATATACATTATTACATATTTGCACTCGTGCAAGAGGGTCTGAATGAATGTCCTATCTAAGCTAGCTAACTAATTATTACAACACCGAATTTAACTACCCGTCTTAGCTAATTAAATAATTACAATACAAAATTAATTAATTAATTAATTCAATTAATTACAACACCAAGTTAATTAGCTATTCTAACTAAGTATTTAAATATAACAAGTCCACAAGTTAACGGGCCCGAGAAATGAGGGAATGGCTTATGCATGTACATGGTTTGCTTTCCTGAAAATGCCTCTATTTTGTTGCCAAAAAGGTTCTATCCATCATAAGTGGATAAATAAAAAGGAGAAAGAAATGGGAGTTGGAAAACATATACATTATTACATATTTGCACTCGTGCAAGAGGGTCTGAATGAATGTCCTAGCTAAGCTAGCTAACTAATTATTATAACACCGAATTTAACTACCCGTCTTAGCTAATTAAATAATTACAATACAAAATTAATTAATTAATTAATTCAATTAATTACAACACCAAGTTAATTAGCTATTCTAACTAAGTATTTAAATATAACAAGTCCACAAGTTAACGGACCCGAGAAATGAGGGAATGGCTTATGCATGTACATGGTTTGCTTTCCTGAAAATGCCTCTATTTTGTTGCCAAAAAGGTTCTATTTTGTGGTCAGAAAATTGCACTGTTTTGCCTCAACCTCTGCTCTGTTCTGTAGGACAAATGGTACTGCCTGGCTGAAAAAGGTGGTCAACCGTAATGGACTGCCGTACAGTATAAGTG